TCGCTCCAAACACGTCATTTCGGATCCTCCCGATCTACTAACGGTGCTTTTAGGTACCTCAAGCATCGGTCATCGTTCTCGTCGAACCCGTCGCTTGCGACGAAGGGCTCGATGAGTAAATTAACCCACAGACACAGCCCACTGAGTTTCTCGCCGGATCTTCTCAGTGGGTCGCGTTTCCGATCCGGTGGCAGATTCTGCGAAACATGGCTCTTGCTAGGGTTCGCGTTAGCAACGTCGTCAGGTTTGAGCCCCGTGAGCTCACCTACTAGTTAAGGTTACGCTGGAATAGCCTCTCAAGGCTACCAGCTTAGGTAGGCAAAAAAAAAGCAGTTTGGGTCATAAAAAATCGGAGCGGTGAAGCGAGTATTTCGCTCTCGCTTCCACTCACGAGCCTTATGGACGGGCATAGTGATGCGCATTATTGTTGTCGATAAACGTTATCGATAGTGTATTTAGTTTTGTCATTTTGAGGGTTAGTGATAAAAATGAAAGAAAAAATCACTAATCGAACACTTACACTACATATCGCCGCAGCAAGTTAACGAGAACGGTAGAAATTAACACTTTGTAACTTTTCGGGAACTATTCTTATTTCCGTGAAATTTTTTAACACATTGTTGTATAACAAATATTATTTTGAATACATTCTGCTGTTTTGATACAAAACAAAGGAGTAGCCATGTGTCGCTAAAGAAATTCAGAGAGCGAATGCATAAAAACACATTTCTCTTCGACATAATGTACTATAATTTGCAGGTAAGTACAAATGACTCTTAACATAACAATGTCTCACCACTCTTCGTATACCACCCCGCCGCCGTGTACCTGCCTTTGATGACTCTTTTGTTTTTATCGATAATGGCGTTGCGCCCGCGCAACATGCTCACCGCTCTAGCCGGGCTATGTTTTATGGCCTAAACTGCACGGACAAAATAATTCTACTATAGTTAAGGTTACGCTGAAATAGCCTCTTAAGGCTCTCAGCTTAGGTAGAAAAAAAAGTACAGCCCGTAATGTACTTATTTGAATAATAAATAAACCATATACATGTATACTTAGTCTGGCCATAAATACTGTTACAATTAAAAATAAAATAAAAATCTATTGCAAATAACATTTAATACTATTACAGTGTGTTAGTTTAATACATAAATATAAAACAATTTCAAGTATAAAAAGCTTATTCGAAGTGGTCTCCATTAGCTGCAATATAGTCCTTTAAACGTTGAGGCCAGTTATCAATAGAAGCACGCACTCTTTCCATGGGAAAATTTTTCACTGCCAATCGTACGGATTGTTTTAGGGACTCCAAATTATCATGGCATTTAAAGCAAGCCGCACTCTCTAAAACTGACCATAAATCATAATCCAGCGGATTAAGATCGGGACTAGACGACGGCCAGTCTTCAGCTGTGATGAAGTCCGAAACGTTCGTTTCCAACCAAGACTGCGTAGACCGAGCTTTATGACCTGCCGCCGAGTCTTGCTGGAAGGACCATTCTTGATTATTGAACATGGTGTTGTTAAGGGGCTTCACTACCTTCTCAAGAATGGTATCTTGATACACTTCTGCCGATGTTTTGATACCTATTTCACAAAAGTATGGCTCAGTCACTCCTTCATAGCTAATAACCCACCAAACCATCACTGAAGTCGGATAGTGCGCACGTTGCACTCTGTCGACTAATTGAGAAGCTTCCTTAGAGCTTTGAGCATAAATACGGTCATTTTGTTTGTTAAAATGTTGCTCAATTGTAAAAAGATTCTAATCCGTAAACAAAATTTTTCTGTGACCTCCATTTGCGTACCGCTTCAGTATTTGTTTCGATTTTACCATTATATTCTCTTTTAAATTATCAGTTAAGAAATGACCGGTAGGTACGTCTCTTATAGGCTGCAAGTCCTAAGTCATCTTTTAAAATACGCGACATGGTTCTAGGTGCTATCTTCATCTCCCGAGATAAAATGTTTTGCTTTCGGACAGGATTTCTTCGAATTCTTTCCCTTACTGCTTTGACCACCTTTTTCGTACGAACACTACGTGAACGGCCAGATCTTTTTCTGTCACAAACAGAGGAGGTCTGATTGCACCTATTAATAGCCCGGTAAACAAACGTTTTACTAATACCAAGCGAATGAAGAGTTTTCAAAATTGCATTTGGCTCCATACCTACTTTGTGTAATGCAATCACAGCGATTCGGTTCTCTTTATCATCTCGCTCGATTTTAATATTGCAAATTATTATATAATGTATTCGCGCCAAAATCAGAAAACTCAATGAGCAATCATATGAAAATGACAGATTCCAAATTCAAATGTAATATTTTGTTTATTTTTAATTGTAACAATATTTATGGCCAGACTAAGTATACTTAATTGTTGCTCGGAGTGTCAATAGTGAAATGAATAGTGTGAAAACCAGATTGATGTTGATAATTTTAATTTAAATATTATGACATTTCAAAAATACTAATCTTCTAAATTATAAGTTTTTATTTCTATCGACAGTTACTATGAATGATAATTTATTTTGTTGAGTTTTATGTTTAGTAATGCGATAATTAATTAGTAGGTATTCTTATGAATCTCAACTTTTAAATGTCTTTAAATAGCAGTTTATTTTTATTTTATCTGTTTCAAATAAACCGAAACTATAGTTATAAGAATGCGTCACTATCTGTTAGTTCTTGTGAAAATATATAGGTAATTGAATTTGACTAAGTTCAGCCTTTATGATAATAATTGTTATTAAAAAATATTATTTTGTCCGATGTTTGATTTATTCCCTAAAGAAAGTGATGTGAATATATATTTTTATTTATAACTGACCCCTTAAGTGAGTAACCCCTTATTATCTTTGCCCTGGAGAGCTCTATTCTTTTTTTTGTACAAAAAATATCGATGTTATCACGATTTCGATGCTTCCGCCACTGATCGATAGATGTCGCTTAATGCCTCAAACGGCATTACGAAATAAAACAATAAATTGTACACTTTAGTTTTATTTATTTAAACATCACACTTACAATTATTATATACAAAGTGAAATAAATTAACTAACAATAAATTTGTCATTGTTCAAATTATCACATGTTTTACTAATTATGTTGTCAATAAATCCCGGGCAGGTTTCGTTAAGTAATTAACAAAAATTAAAAATGTAAACAATAATCATACGCTGTAATCATTCGCACTCTAATGGTACTAAATGGCAGGGTAGATTTTACTAACGTGCCAAATAAACCCAGGAATAACTAAGACTTCAAAGTTTACTTAAAAGCCAACGCGTGTTGCTTAGGGCCTGAGTAAACACACAAACATGCCATTTTATACCTTAAGCTTAAAAACAGTAATGAAACATTTGAAAGTATAATCAAACTTTGTTTCATAATTTGTTTCATGTAATTCTCACTAAAAATAAATTTTGTGACTGTTTATGATTTTATAGGAATACTTTTAAAGCATGATGATTATACACGATTGTTTCTAAATATATTTGTGCAACAAATAAAATACAATAGTGTGCTTAGTGCGAGTTCTTTAACGTTCTCGATAGCGTAAAAGTTAACCCAATTTTGTATGCAGTTGGAATAGCGCCCCTAACGCAAACGTAGGCAAACGATCCCAATTCATACAAATATGAGTTAACTTTTACGCTATCGCGAACGTTAAAGAACCCGCACTAAGCACATAGTATAATCAAATGAGCAAGCGGACTAGTTGAAATGTCCAACTATCACGACTCAAACCAAATTTATCGTTATTATAAATATACTTTACACAAACCAAACTTATGGTAATTAAAAATCAATGAATACTGTAGTGGCTGTAGTTGGTGGTACAAAACTTGTCCTAAAATTTACGGATATAATGAAAAAGAAATCAGCCCAATCGGTCAACGGTCAAACAATTCTCTAGTGATGCTCACTCACACATCTCCTTTAAAAAATAATTGAGTTGTTGAGTTGAGTAATTAAAATAGTATGGATTTCTATTTCAATTATAATTTAACAACCGTAGAAATTATTTTAAATTCTCAACACTTTAAGTCGTACAACACCGCCATCTTACTGCGGCTTAAAAAAGTAATTAGATTCAAAGGAAAATAATATGAAAAATGTTGTGTTGAAATAGTTCAATGTATCGCTAATAGATGTCACTGTTATTAAAATAATACATTAAAACTAAAACTGCATACAATTTTAGTACAGTAGGCTTTCTTGTTTTGGGGTAGACATATTTCAGAGTATTAAAACTTAATGTGTATATATGAATTATATATGTATGTATGTATGAGCTATGTTAACATTTATATTTCGGGTAAATACATCAAACTTTATTTTCGTATGTGTGACGAGAAATTTGAAGAACAGTTATAATATCAAGTTGTCTATTTTTTTGTACGGCTATGATATGACTAGAGACAACGACCGATTTTACACGACAACAAAAAGCAGCTGGCTCTCACTAGTGGTAGGAGCTCTTGTAAGTCCGCGCGGGTAGGTACCACCGCCCTGCCTATTTCTGCCGTGAAGCAGTAACGCGTTTCGGCTTGAAGGGTGGGGCAGCTATTCTGAGACCTTATAACTCATATCGGTGGCGGCATTTACATTGTAGATGTCTATGGGCTCCAGTAACCACTTAACACCGGGTGACTGTGAGCTCGTCCATCCATCTAAGCCATCTCCTGATACTGCATTGTCCACTGAACTCCACTGTTTCCGGAAATTTAAAATTACTTACTGTAATAAATATTGTAGCGTTCCTTATAAATACAATTAACTAATTAAATTTGTTCTAAGTAACCGACTTCGAAATCAGTGATTTCAGATACCAACTGTATTCTAAACTGTATTCAATATATTGAGAAAGCTTTTTAAAATAGTGAATAGAAAGCTTAATCACGAAAATCTGGGAAGACAAAGAGAGAGAAATATGTTAAAAAAACTTATTTCCAAGATTTAGAAGTCGGATTTGTTTTTTTTTTCTAACTTAATTACATTAAACTTAAACATAATTTTCTCGCGTAAACACTGATGACTTTGTAGTTAAATTTTATAGACACTGATTCACCGACATTGTTATTACACCTGTCGAGCAGCCTCATCTCCCGTACTACATCTATGTAATCTTCTAAAAAGTCTTCAAGTATGTCTTTCGGGATATTAAATGGATTGATAGCTGCTACTGATTCTGTGTTCAACAATAACAAATTATGATTTCTCATAAAATAACTACTGATTTTATATTAAATATTCGCTTATTTCTGGCGCGAAGTAGTAGTGCGTTTCGGTTTGAAGGGTGGGGCAGTCGTTGTCGGCTGCAGTCTATTCTGTCAACTTTGGCAATTGAAAACCAACATGCTCTTATTACGGCCTCAGTTATTTTCAATTTTCAATTCAATTTACTGATGCGTAATTTTTGTAAGTAAATAGTCTCCAGAAACTATACTGAGACCTTAGAACTCATATCTCAAAGTAAGTGACGGTATTTACGTTGTAGATTTCTATAGACTTCGGGAACCACTTAACATCAGGTGGGCCGTGAGCTCGTCCACCAATCTAAGCAAAAAAAACTTTGTCCCATTAACTATTCATCAGAACGAACCGCCAGTTAAATTATTTATTGTAAAAGCATTCGATTTTAGGATTGACGGATTACTGGTGGCCCGAAAACCTTTCCAGTTTCACCAGGACGATGGGCGAGCAAAGGCTTAGCCAGGAGGTATGAAAGGTTCCCGTTGTAACAGTATCCCTGCCTATTTCCTGACTCCTGTCAAAAACATCGGCACCGGTGATAGGGTATCTAACAAGCCTTAAATGATACTCTGAATTATAATACATACTAACTTTTTAAAACATCCAAATCATCGTATACATAGAACAACGTTTTGCATTGCACTTCAATATTGCTAAATCCAACTCTTTCCATTATCTTCTTAACTTCTTTTTCGGGATCCTGAAAATGAAAAATGTTTTGTTAGCATTTAAGATTTTGTTTTTAGTTAGACAGGTGGATGGGCCTACGGTCAACCTCAAAGAAGTCCATAAGCACGCAAGAACGGTATTGAAGAATGAAGTATCAATTGAATTGCGACAGTGACTGTAAGCTCAAGCTGGTGATTTAATTTGCGGCAGAGAAGGACTCTTATTCTCTTGATACATTTTACCGTGTATTTAAGAACTACAGTGATAGGAATTAGAAAGCTGGCTTAAGTAGGAAAATACTTTCGTCTTATATTTTGCTTGGTTTACCCTTTAAAGCAACTGAGTGAGTATTTTACAAGTGGTTACGACAAGCAGCCCCTTAAACTATTGTTGATCGTAATATGATGAGACAGTTGCGATTGTACCTAGGGGAATCTTCGCGTTGTACACGATTGTCATCGGTGACCAATAAAAAGGTAAATTATATCAAAACTGCTGAATTTTTTAAAACCAAAAGAAAGATAAAAATTGTTTTTCATTAAATATGGCCACGAATCGATAAAAACAGAAGAAATTTGTATTGAAATGAATGCGTTTCCGTAATTCCACATGTATTTTTTTTAGGAAGGAATGATCACTTGTGGCACGGAGGTATTTCCAGTTTCACCAGGACAGGTGGGCGAGCACGGGCCCAGCCAGGAGGCCTGGGATTCTTTAACAGATACCCGAGTGCCTCCAAAGGAGACCTAACAGCTCAAAGGCAACTGCTTCGCGAATGCATCTACTATACTCTAAGCCAATTACGAAGTCCCATGAGACAGATGTTATTTTTATGTTATTGTGTGTGTGAATTAATTGTATAATGATTTAGATTGATTGTGTATTTTTTAAATGATTTTTGATCCTCATGATCATGATTTTGATTTTCAAACATCATTTACCTACTTATACTTGTTGATTGTTTTTTGTCAATTAGAATAACCTTATCGTGGAGACTTAATCACCGGTATACATAGCACATGTAAATAGCTTTTTGGATTATTCTTTCCGAAATCATTGACTGAACAATAAAGGCCGATAAAAGCGTAAAGCAACGTCTTTACACAGGTTTGAGTAATACAACGCGTGGAGTGATATTTGAAATTCACATAGCAAATTCATTTTAGGTGAAGTAACCGCGTCAGTTATTCAGAAGGCCTGAATTAGAAAATATTGTGGTTTTGGGGGTGTTCATTTTTTTATGGTACTCGTTGTGACTGATTTAAGACTACACTATGTACTATTAATAAAGTGGTACCAAACAACCTTGAGACATGAGTTTGAAGATTCAATTGTATACTACAACAGCTGTCCCACCCTTCGAGCCAGAACGCCTGACTGATTCGCGTTAGCAATAGTTAGAATGGCGGTAGCGGCCCATGTTGGCCCATAGCTTGCTCTGCTACCAGTATTTTTAAATATTAGGTAAGTTCTTAAAAATATATCTTTCGAACATAGATTTTTGTGATGACGTAATAAAGTAAGAAATCCCGGTGTAGGCACCGAACCTGCGCCAGGTATGAAATATTTTAAGTAATTACTAACGACTCCTTTGAACCAAATCACAACATACTAGTTTCGGCTTCCACGAAATACTGCTCAAATACAATGGCGACCACTTTTTTTTCTTTCTTTTTTACTACCTATTTGCTGGTAGCCTCAGTGGCTATTCTACCTACTCCCGTACGGGTAGGTGAGCTCACAGGCTCAACCTGAGAGAATTTGCTAACACTAGTAAGAGCAGTACTTCGCAGAATCTACCACCGGATCGGAATCGCGACCCACTGAGAAGATCCGGCGAGAAACTCAGTGGGCTGTGTCTATGGGAAATCACAAAGTAAGCTATGATATTTATAATGGATGCTGCGTCACTTAACTTCCTAATTAAATTAGTATATACAAATATACTTATTGAATAAATAAAAAACAAAAAAAGCTTACTTCATTGTCATGGTAAGGTGATATAAATCGATCGACGTGCTCGAGCCAAGAATGCCATTTTTCTGTATGCGAGAGTGTGCGGTAAACATCAAAGATAGGAGTGTGGCCCAGGAACAGAAGTAAGCAATCTCCTTCGTCGCCAAGCAGATTGAAAATGTTCCGGAAAGCTCGTCTGTAATTAGATATTTCAATGGTAGTTTAATTTTCTTCAGTAAATAATGTTGACGTAAAATAATGAGCATTTTTCGCAAATATACATTTTTAAATTATATACAATCATATTATTTATTGGAGTCTAGGTGAGCGCTGGAATTGGCTCGTACACTGCGCAGAAGCAGTGTATCATATTTGTAGTAGATATGTAGAAAAAGCCTTCTCTATGCGTGGACGAATGAATGACACGACTGTGTAAATGGATATTCTGGTAATTGAAGTCCATAGGCCGCACTACGGGTACATAATCTTGAGATTTAATTTTAAATTTTTAATGATTTTATACAACAGCTGGTCTACTCTACTCTGTGAACCGAAAAGGGCTGTCTCGCGAAAGGCGAAATAGAAGGTTGATTTTTTTATTAAACGATGTTATTACTTCATCTAAAATTCAATCGTAAACAAGTACACACATCCTTATGAAAAATAGGTACCAGCCAGGATTTTAAACTCAGTCTAATTGCAGCGTTCGATTTTGAAAATGGAAAACGAATGGAATCAAATGATTAACCCGTGAAAAAAAAGGAAAAATAGGTTTGGTAGTAGCATCTGAGTCTTCATTTAAATAAAAAACTAGATGATGACCGAGCTTTGCTCGTTTTTTTTTTGATAACGCCATCTTGTTGTGTCTTTTTATAGCGGTTAGTTGCCCTCAATTAAGAAAAATTGTATTATTATTCGCCAATAGATGTCGGGAAGAGTTGATTATTGAAAACACGAATAAAACAACATTTTCTGAAAATAAATCGTAGCTAGATCGATTTATCGCCCCCGAAATCCCCTGTATACTAAATTTTATAAAAATCGTTAGTGCCGTTTCCGAGATTCAGATTATATATAATATATATTAATATACAAGAATTGCTCGTTTAAAGGTATAAGATATATCAATGATTCGATAATTTGACAATTCATTTATCAATTACCGTAAAATATTTATTGTGTTCTATTGTATAACAGTTGTCACGGTGGGCTACGGGTCAAGTGATCGACTACCGTAGCCCGTAGACATTGAAACGCGGATGTTGCTACAAAAATCCATGACTTACACGCGCTATTGGAATCTATTTACACCACACGTTACGTTACGTCATCTTGAGACATTAGGTCGGAGTATCAATTTTATTGTACGTCAGCTTCATCAAATTGAAACACACGACAGGGCAGTGAAAAAAATAATACTAATACACATAACTACGATTTCCATAGAGATTGGGTTTACAATCAATCGGCCTTCCTAATCATTGGAATGTATATTAGATCGAAGAAGTTCGTAAAGGATTATGACTACTAAATGGTTCCGTAGTTGGGAAGAGCAATCACGGTAGAATTTAAAGGAAGTATTAAAAATATTTTTGTCGCCTAATTCTAAGGAGTACGGAATGAAAATTATGTCACGTCCTAAAATCAATTTTCAAAATGGTTTTAGTACTATCATATTTTAAATTTTCGACTAGATAGTTGAAACGTTTATTAAGGATCCAAATCAAAATATAATTTATTTGGAGCCTCCACATCATTTATACATACTGAGAGCTATAAGATAGCGTGATATCGCATTCGAGTGTGTTACATTATAATTATTAAATAGTATTATTGAAATACTATTAGATTATTAAATACTATTGTACACATTTCTACCGTTACATTAAAAATTTGGACAAATTGATAATAGTCTTCGAGTAAAATTATTGTGACATAAAGTCTGAGGAACTTAACGACACTAATAGTTCCTTACAGGTCACCGTCATCGTCGAGCCTCGAGGAGCGAATTAACCCATAGACACAGCCCACTGAGTTTCTCGCCGGATCTTCTCAGTGGGTCGCGTTTCCGATCCGGTGGTAGATTCTGCGAAGCACTGCTCTTGCTAGGGTCAGTGTTAGCATCACTCCGGTTTGAGCCCCGTGAGCTCACCTACTAGTTAAGTTTACGCTGAAATAGCCTCTCAAGGCTATCAGCTTAGGTAGAATAAAAAAATATAAAAAACGCGAGAAAAAAAAATGTTTTACTGATTAGCGTTCATTAATATCAAATTTAGAATAGAGACCACATTTTAAACGTAAATTTAAATTCTAATATTTAATATTAATTGGTCCTGTATAATTTTTATTCTTACGTTTTCGGAAAGAATGTAATTAGTGACTATAGACACGATGCAATCGAAACGTAATTTTTAAATTAAAATCTGTGTATATATATTTTTTGACATGAATATTAGCTTAGAAATTATGATTTGAGATTTAATTAGATTCATTCGTTAGCAATGGTTAATTTCGACATTGTTAGTTCTTCGTGTTTTTTTTTCATAATTGTGGTATGAACTTACTCCTGGTCTCTGATCCAGTGGAGGGTGTAAAAAGAGAAAACGTGATCAAAGCCTTGTTTCAGGTCTGCGGTCAAATCGCCCTCTATGTCGAGCACCCTGAACGAAGTCCTACCGAAGCCGTGGTGTTTATTCGCGTATTTCACCATTTCTTCGCTTATGTCGCAGCCAACTAATCTTCCGTAATTTTTTGGCATGTAAACTTTCAAAATATCAGTAACACTACCGTCAGCGCAACCCAAATCTATGACTCTATCACCGATTTTTTTCCACTTAATCTTATTCGCATGTTCCTCGAGGCAGCGCAGAGCATCTCTCTTTTGGAGGCTGTTACTTTTGCGGTATAAATCTGCATTGTTCATTTTTGACTTAATATTTTTTTTTGCAATAAAATATTTGTCGGCACTTTTTTTTTTTAAGTTCGTATTGAACTAAGCGCGTGCGATGTGTCGCTGTTCTCACTGCGGTATCGCCGAACAGTCTTTGCAGGGAGCGACTTGCGCGTTTGTTATATATATGTATGATGATCGACTGAAGTACGACAGAATTGACGGTAATGTTTTTTTAATGAATTCAAGAAATCACTAAACACGTCATTAAGTTCTTTTAATTCATTAAAAAAATTAGCCATATTTAAACGTTTTTAACCGAAAAATTCAAAGAATCACGCGTATGCTTTACAGATTCTGCTAGTATGTATTATAATTTCAAATAAACATTACAGTTTTGAAATTCGGTAAAATATACAGTATGATATATTTTAATGTCGTGTCATAGCACTTGCTTAGCTATAAGATGGTGATTATTTCTATAATCAAGAAAAAAAAATTCGAAGTAAAAAAAACTAGAAATTATATGTATATTTAAATACTCCTTTGTCATGTGACATGTTTTTGTCTTTGAGCTATAGAAACTGTGTTAAATCGTGCTGGACCAACAAATAGTGTATCGGTAAAATGTAACATGGGGCTTAATATTTACGTTCATTAGCGAATTAGTCGAAGAAACGGTTAGTAAAATTGTAATACTTTACTATGTTCTGAACGTATGACGTCACCGAAGTCATTTCAATTTCATTTCGGAACAATTGTAGGATCGGTAGGCAGCGGCTTGGCTCTGCTCCTGGCATTGCTGAAGTCCATGGGCGACGGTAACCACTTACCATCAGGTGGGCCGTACGCTAGTCTGCCTACAAAGGCAATAAAAAAAATTGGCAAATTACTTCAATTACAAAAAATATTATGTGATAATTATAGGATGTTCTAATTTTTTATAAATTAAATGTTTCGCATTGGGCTGCTTATCTTTTATTAGATAAGAAACATTGAGACGGTGTTTAATCTTCATAAATCGTCAACTTATTTTTCATCAACTTGTTAACTGGAAGAGAATGCCTGCATGGCATTAAGTTCGTCTTTGTACAATATTTTGTGCAATAAAGAATTTTCATTCATTCATTCACGCCTTCATCAATGGCCTACACTGCTGACTTACATAGGCCTGTCCTACCCAAAACTGACCTCTTTTTATTTTATTTAAGCCCCTGAAACACGTCTTCGGAGGCACTACCAATCGTTTATACGTCACGGCTCCTGTACTGATCCTAGGAGAAATCATGGAAAGATATGAATGAAATAATTATTGACGCTCATCGGTGGCTGCGGTAGCAACACTACAGCGGTTCGTAAGCTAGCAATCGTCCCTCAGGTAACTCAATGATGAGTGACCAATACCACTTATTCCATCCAAACTACGTGGTTAAATTTACAATCCGCGAATTAATTACGAAGTGGCTTATAAATATTATAATCATTTACGCCTAATCTGATTAAAACTGAAAAATTCTACGTGTATTCCATCAAACCGCCTCTCCATGGGTCCAGTCCAGTCCAACCCACGAATAGGACTGTGACTTTTTTTTAAGAAAACTCAGCGGAAACCATTAAATATTGGCGATTTGCATTGATGATAACTCGGCTATTAATTGAAGCTGCTAACATTATTGTTTGGAGGCAGAAATACGAAGCTAGCTGCTTAGTATCATCGAATAATGACTCAGGTCACCGTACCGCCTAAATAACGATCAGGTACAGAGCACTTTGTGTAAATACTATTATGAGCAAAATATAGAAAGTTTATTAACATAAGCATAAAGTAAAGTTTAAAATAACCATGAAAAGAGTTACAATTGGCGACTTTTTCTTTGATTCAAGCGATCCCTTCTAGGCAACCTTGCAGGGAGAAAGCTTGTAGCCTTGTAAGGTGGCCAGGAGCTTAGGAGTCCTCAGGATTAGGTACCACCACCTTGATAATTTCTGCTGCGAAAACAGTATTAGCGTTCTAGTTTGAAGAGTGGGTCAGCCGTTGTACTATAGATCTGAGACTTAGAACACATGTCTCAAGGTGGGTGGCGGTATTTACGTTGCATATGTCTATGGACACCTGGGATCAGTTAACACTAGGTGGGCCGTAAGCTCGTTCATCCGTTTAAGCAATAACAAAAAAAACAGAAGTTGTTTGAAAGATTCCTATGTTTTAGTTTTATTGAAATATAAATTAATACGTTTGAAAAGAGATCGAAAATTCATAACTCGCCATACTTACATGATTTCAATGCATTAGTATTCTTACAATTGCTTAGCTTACAATTTTAGAATTACCTTTGAGAAAATTAGAGATACGCTTTGTTTAATCTTAGGCTTTGTTGAAGTACAGACAAAATCTAATAAAATAAGCACAAGAATGACCAAATATCGAAATATCATCCTGATAAGGAAAACACGTAAATAATGTATTACTCTCAAGTGTATTTCACGAAGTTAGGTACGTATTTCATGTCGCAGTGGAAAATTTAAAGAAAACTGTTTTTCATTGGATGGTTGTCTGACTTTTTCTATGCAAAAATTTACGGTTCATGGTGCTAAGATTATATAGTTTAAACATTCTTTTAAATGTATTCGTTGGCTTGGATATTAGTCAAGGTGCTTCTTAGATGTGATTTTTCATGTACGCTGTGAAAATAAAGTATTTGAATTTCTTTTGTTGATTTTCTAAGAATCTTGTTGAGTACTAGTTTTTGTAATTTCATACTATTTTCTATTAAAATTACGAATTTTATTAATAGAAACAAGGACGTTAAATATATTTTTAGTTAAGTTATTAAGTTTTAGTGTACATAATTTTATTACACTGTTAGTGCCGAAGAATTTCGGCGTCGTCTCTTGATTTAAATAGAAATATAGTGATATTATATTAACCATCATTCGTTGATACATACATTAAATTTAATGAAGCTATTAAGAAATTAAAGTAATTTTTAAACCATATAATGTCGGTCATACATCTGTTTTATTAGCTTAAACAAAAAATAGTACCGTTGGACATGCCTGTTTTCATTTGTCTTTGTAGATTTTTTGATTGTTAAAGCATTTTTCTAGATTTATTCACACAAGATAAACTAAATTAAGTTTAATTAAATTAAATAGATTATAATGACTTTTTTCATTTCATGCTACCTAATTCACACGATTTTTAAGCCGTTATTAAATAGAAAAGTTAAAATTAACATCTCACATTCTTATAGCACAACATTATGGTGTGTATTGATAAACATCGATTTCTCTGACAGGAATATCTGTTCGAGGTAAATATGGATTTAGGGATTGTATAGAAATCTCTGATGAATCTTTCGTTAAACTTCCTGTTAGTACACATACTACGTACTTGTGATTTTGTAATCACAATGTAACGAGTCGATTTCATACTCAACTATTTAAAAATAGACGAGGTTTATCTGCTGTTAGGATCAACTACGTCTGTCTTTTTGTCAATACTCTTTTGTATAATAATTTATTGAATCATTGGCCTTCATCTAATCTATATTTGAACAACTTTGTAATGCACGATGAAATAAAATACGATTGGTACTTCTTAACTATTGCACAAATACTTATTTCCTATTTTATTTTTGAATAATATTATCGATTTTTGTTTCCTGTTTTTGTGAACTTCTAAAGATTTTCATCATATTTCGTAAACTTGTTTTTCATTATAAATTCATCGTGTGTAAACTATGAACACAGTCAAATCTTGTTTAGAAATGATGCCGGTATTCTAGCTATTTGTTAGCGAATATGTTATATAATTTCAACAAAACGCAAGACTTTGTTTTTATTCCCAGATTAGTACATATTTGTTTTATAAAATGAGCAAAATTTGAACATCGTAATATAAGTTATGGAAAATAAGATGGAGGATTTTTTAAACTGTGACAAGATTTCAATCATAACATTCTTTAATTAGTATTGTTGCTTATTTCGTTGAAGCTTCAAGTTTAGTAAGATAAGACAGGTGCATTTGAGTTGGGCGTCTCATGAAATTGAACTTTTTTGGAATTCATTACGTGTCTTTTTCGCGTGTCACACGCTCTCAAAATTCACATTCAGCTCATGCAGCTTAGGTATTAAGTGCATCGTTGGTTTGCCTTGANCAATCATAAAATTCTTTAATTAGTATTGTTGCTTATTTCGTTGAAGCTTCAAGTTTAGTAAGATAAGACAGGTGCATTTGAGTTGGGCGTCTCATGAAATTGAACTTTTTTGGAATTCATTACGTGTCTTTTTCGCGTGTCACACGCTCTCAAAATTCACATTCAGCTCATGCAGCTTAGGTATTAAGTGCATCGTTGGTTTGCCTTGACCGTGGACGAAAAAGTGCATTGCCCCGTGTCCGAATCGTTTTTATTTTTCGATTCGGCTTCTGGCGCCGATACTACTCGACTGGGTTAGGAGTCTTGACCTAGCCTAATATTATTTATATTAGTAGCGGAACGATTTTATAAGATGACGTTTGTTATGCTTTAACACGTCGATATTTATGTTCGCCTTATCTTTACGCCTTGAGTTTGTGACTGCGTAGATCTTGCATAATTACGAATGCTCGAAGAAACGCGTCCATAGTAGAAGATGTACGTACGTATATAGCTTTGGCTTTGTTGTTTTGCATACGCACATTATGATAACATTAGGCGTATGATTGAGAGCGGGCACATTAAAATCGTATCCGATTGAGAAAATTACGCAAAGAAAATATAATTTTGCATAATAAGCTTTTATATAATATAATATTTAAGTAATTATATAATATATTTTTTTTATTGCTTATATGGGTGGACGAGCTTACAGTACACCCGGTGTTGAGTGGTTACTGGAGCCCATGGACATCTACAACGGCTGCCCACCTTTCAAACCGAAACGCACTACTGCTTCACGGCACAAATAGGCAGGATGGAGGTACCTACCCGTGCGGACTCACAAGAGGTCCTACCACCAGTAATTACGCAATTTATAATATTAATATTTTT